AATAATAGTGTTATTTGTGTTATTATTATTATTTCAATAAACAAATATGTTTTTAGGTAACTTTATGCACAACCTTACTATTTTACTCATAGTCATAACATATTAAATATATTTTAAAATTATATTCAAAATGCTGAATCAAAGGTAAAAGCATGTCATTACCTTGTCCTGTATAATTGTAGTTATTCTTATCTCCAGTAGTTGGTATTGTAAATGTTGACAGCCATATATATAAATGTAATATATTATATGATATATAACATATAAAGTCATTGAAAGTGTTATGTTATATCAGCGCAATAAGTGCAAACAAAAACAACTTGTTGATCCTGCCAGAAATCCGGTGCACTGATAACTTCCCGTGCTCTGTATCTCTGTTACACTGAAATCTTAAGCTGTAGTTCAGTTCTCTTTTGTAAACTACAGTGCAGTTACAGAACGCATCAAAAATGCATCTAATGTATTTCAACTGTATTTTGAGCGTTCAGCTCCAAAGCATGTGGAAAAACTGCAGCATGCCCTATTTTTTCTGCTCTGGAACGCACCAAAACACATGCAAACGCATCAAAAACACATGCAAACGCCCGGGATCGCACTGAAAGCCATTTGTAGGCTAAAAAAAAATAAACGCACCGGAAAGTGGCAAAACACACGGCACTGCATATGCAGAAACTCATGCAGATCTGGTCTGCATTTGGTGTGAACAAGCCCTAAGAGGTGCATGTAGTCCCAATCATGAGACCAGCCTAAGGTGACAACACTCCTTCTCCATAGGTACAGTATACTAAGTGAGCATTGTCACCCTGGGACAGGAAGCATGTTAATGGCAAGACCACCAGGGAAATAAATAGGAAATACATTTGGGAAAAAAGAAAACAAATGGAAACACAACATCCAATATGTAATATATTGATTTTATGCTCCTGGGTTTAGGTAGCCTTTAAGAATTCATTAAATATAATTACCATAAGGGTCTGATCCTGTCTTCATTTTAGCAGGACTCATATGCTGCAATATATTAATGTATTATTCCGGGACTTTGAACATCATTAACTATAATTACCATAAGGGTCTGAGTCTGTCTTCACTGTAGCCTCTTGTAATTTCCACCACAGCAGCACTTAGACTGGGAGAGAGGGGGGCAGCGGTTTCAGCCAACCAGGCTCCACTGCACACTGCACAGTCAGTCTTCCTTCTTGAGCGTACTTACCAGAAAAGAGAGCAGAGAGCTGACCTCATGTGTGTGCTGCTGCATTTGGCTGTGCAATCAGCAGACTGGTGACCAATATGAACTGCCTAAATAATGTGGAGAAAAGCAAAGTCATCAACCTAGCTAAGCTGTTGGTCATGGATGTCTAGATCAGAAGAGCGGATGAACAAATTACAAATAATTTGGCAGTTAGGAAAGCCTATGTGTATTTCAACATCATATGTGACTGTTTTCCAGCCAATACTTTAGATTCTACTTTATTAAAGGGGATTTATACTCAAGTATCAATATAAAGCCAGTTTTGGCTTTATGCATAAACAAAATATTTATACAGTATAGAAAAATGAATATAAATAAATATAACATGTTTAAATAAGTATAAATCAATAAAGATAAAATATGTATTTATTTATATATAAAGTGGTTATTTATATATTTTTGCTGGAATGGATGAATTAAAAAAAAAAGTAACAGAAGTGTTGAAACACTTTTTTTTTTTTTAACGAAGTGAGGTGGGATTCTGCTTCAGGCTAGGTCCACATCTGCACTACACCGTACAACACCCGGGACACGCGTCCCCGGATCGTGCGGTCCTACACAATGCAGGCAGCGATTGCCGCACGGCCCCATTGATTTCAATAGGGTGACACCTGCGCGGCAATCGCAAAAAAAAGGTTTATGTACCTTTTTTTTGCAATCCACGACGCGCTGCTGTGTTAGCCGAGTTCAGAAGCACGGGTGGAATCCACACGGCGCGACTGGGAAAATAATGGCACTCACAGCGCGATCGGTTCACACCTTGGCAACTCCTGACCGCACGGTAATCCGTAAGGTGTCGCCTAGGTGTGAACCTAGACTTAGGCTCCCTCAAGTGCTGGCCAAGGCATTTGGTCACATGTTTATATTGAAGAGGAAGATTAGCAAGTCTGAATTTTGACAACCCTATCAATCATGTGATGTGACCAAGTGTCCAGAGCTTTGTTGTCCTTATTGTATACTCAGTGTTCAGGCAGGTATCAGGAGGCAAAGCTGAGGCTTGTTAGAGGGGTCATTTCAAGTTAAAGTGTATCTAAACTAGAGCTGCAGCTAACGATTATTTTCAAAATCGATTAGTTAGCCGATTATTACGTTCGATTAATCGGTTAATCGGATGAAAAATTAAAAAATAAAATACATTTTTAAAAATGGCTCCAGTGATGGACTACTAGTTTGTATTGAGATTGCAGTTCATCACAGGAGCAAGCTTGGAACGGTGGAAGTAAAAAAGAAAAAAAAAAAGCATGGTGTGCAGTATAGTGAAATGAAAAGTGTAAAATTATACAGCAATGAATGCAGAATGACCTCGGCTATAGAGGACTACAAATCCCAACAATAGTACATTATACAGCACAATGAAGAATACCACCAGCTATAGAGGAATACAACAAATCCCAGCAATAGTACATTATAGCTGGGGGTATTCTGCATTGCGCTTTATAATGTATTATTGCTGGGTTTTGTAGTCCTCTATAGCTGGTGGTATTCTGCATTGCGCTGTATAATGTAGTATTGCTAGGTGTTGTATTCCTCTCTAGCGAGTGTTATTCCGCATTGCACCACTGTATAATGTACTATTGCTGGGATTTGTTGTACTCCTCTATAGCTGGTGGTATTCCGCATTGCGCTGTATAATGTACAGTATTATTCTTTGTTTTGTAGTCCTCTATACAGCGCAATGCAGAATACCACCAGCTATATAGGAATACAACAAATCCCAGCAATACATTATATATACAGTGTATAATGTACTATTGCTGGGATTTGTAGTCCTCTGTATAATATACAGCACAATGTACCATCAGCTATAGAGGAATACAAATCCCAGCAATACATTATAGAGCACCATGTGTGGGAAAGTGCAGGCTTACATGAGCAGTCTTCCAGCAACTTGTTTCTTGTGGAGGGTGGAAGCGGGCGGGCGGATCTGGCAGCAGCGAGCGTGAGGTGGGGAGGAGGTGTGGCGTGCAGCGTGTGTGGAGCTGTGAACAGGGCCAACCAATCGGAAGACGATTAATCGATTGAAAAAGTTGACAACTTTTTCAATAACTGATTATAATCGATGATGTCGATTAGTTGTTGCAGCCCTAATCTAAACCCAAACAAACATATAATATATTGCAGCTTAGATGTGATAGATGCATTTGTTTTCGTTTTTTTAGCCTTTTAAATGTATTTTCACCTGGTGAAATGGCCAGTAAATAACAGATTTTAAATACAATCAATGGAAAATACCAGACAGATACAATGTTGCATATTTGTATTTATTAATCAATTTGTTTTCTCCGGAGGGGTGGATGAAGGAATGCGGTGCAATGAATATACATCGCTGTTGTGTTGTAAGGGAATTAATCAATAAGAAAATAATGTTTGAATGTGTACAAATTAGATCATGTAGCATTTCTGTTTATTCTCTGTTGGTTCAGATTGTTACAATGTATATAAGTATTTCCCCTGGACATTGAATCTGAATAATCTGTAGGATACACAGAAGTGTCCAGAGCTCTGCCTTCATTCGGTGTCCACATGGTTGCAGGATTTTAAGACCAGCACTGTGCTTCCTCTTTAAAGCATATCTAAACCCAAGACGAAAAGTGTAATATATTGCAGCTTATTGTTCCTTAGATGTGGTGGATGCATTTTTTTTCTTTTTTTAGGTTTTTTAAATGTATTTTCAAATGGCCAGTAATCTGTTATTTTTCAACTTCTTTAATAGGCCAAGCTGCCCTGCAAAAGTGGAGGTTAGAGGGCTGAGATAAATGATTTAACGCTGGCAAGGGGGCTTACAATGGTCAGCTTTTATTTATTTATGTTAGGGATGCACCGATACCGGTATTTCGATATCGAGTACGAGTACTGATATTTATTTTCGGTACTTGCCGATACCGAATACCGGATACCGGAAGTCCCATTCAGGAAGTCAGGCAGCGTGTAATGACTCGCCACCTAGCTTCCTGATTAGTCGGGAAGCCGGGCGGCGTGTAAAGACTTGCCACCCTGTTCCCCGATTATCAGGGAAGCCGTCCCCATGCTTCTCTTCACTAGGTGATGAGGAAGCATGAAGCCGGCTTCCTGACCTCGTCATTACACGGTGCCCGACTTCTTGATTGGCCAGCTTTCCGACCAATCAGGAAGTCGGGCAGTGAGTCATTACACGCTGCCCGGCTTCCTGATTGGCGGGGAAGCCGGCTCCATGCTCTCTCGTCACAAGTGAACAGGGAGCATGGAGCTAGGATCCTGATCAATCAGGAAGCCGGTCAGCGTGTAGTGACGCACTGCCCGGCCTCCTGATACCGGAAGTATGTGGCTAGGCATCGGAGCATTTGGGCGAGTACGATGTTGCTTATCCAGCAGAGTGGGGCCACCATAAGACAGGAAGTATGTTACTGGCTGGATCACCAGGTGACAATAAAGAAAAAAAGCCTTAAAAAATTGAGCTAATGCAGCCCCACATTTATGGACTGGTAAGCTGAAGTATATTTCATTATTTGTTTTAGTATATAAAATATTTTTTTTTTTTAAACACATGGGAAGCATTGACTTTGGGATAAAGCAGAAATCTAAGGTTGAGATAAAAATATAAACTAGAAGCTTTTTTCGCTCTTTAAAACATTGGGGTTTTTTTTAACAGGGAAGTTGTTTTAATATGTTTTTGATAATTTTTGTTTCCTTGTTTCATTGGAAGCTTTATCAGCGCCATTTGTTATATGCGGTATGTTTGCAATATCGGTAACTCTTATTTCATTGTCCACAGGTGTTTATTGGAGGATGGAGCATCTAAAGGAGCCTGGTTGAACCGTTCCAGTATTATATTTGCGGGGAACGACAAGTGGTCAGTGGACCCCAGAGTTTCAATTTCGGCATCGAGCAAAAAGGATTACAATCTGCGGATACAAAAAGTGGAAATTTCAGACGATGGACCGTATACGTGCTCAGTACAGACTGAACACAATCCGAGGACAATGCAGGTTCATCTTACCGTTCAAGGTATGTGTTGTTCAGTATGTGTTGTCTGTGCGGCAGGTGATCCTAACATACAGTTAGGCAGCTTTTAAATAGGATAAAAATATATATATTGTTTGCTTTAAGAGCAATTAAAGGGTCACATGTGAAGACAATAGGTGATTTATTATCCTGTCATGCGCTAAAATTAAAAGCTTTACACAGTTTTCTGCAGCGCACTGCAGCATGAGTGCAAAGACCACCTCACAGGGTTACTGGGAACATGATTTTTGAAGACCGTGCTGTGTAACTTCCTTTCATTCTCCTAAATATTTGCAAGGGCAAAACTAGAAATCACAGGGCCCCATAGCAACATTTTGTATAGGGCCCTGTGATTTCTAGTTACGCCCACCTGAAATCCCAAACAACCCACCTGAGAGTGATCCTGCAGAGCCCACCATAAACTCTCTATGGTGGGCCCTGCAGGGTTTCAGGGGGGCTGGTCAAACCCTCTTACCTGTCAGCCCTGATCGCTCTCCGCCTCCTCCGTTGCTGGGCCCAACCCTCCTCCATTGCCGGGCCTAACCCTCCTCCATCGCCGGGCCTCACCTCCTCCATCGCCAAGCCCCGCCTCCTCCTTCACTGCTGACGCTGGTGTTCTATCGAAAGCTCCGACTTGTCGAGCTCTTCGACTGGGCACATCACATCTGGTGACTGCCAGTAGGAGATGTACAGCACATGGACGTAGTGCACATGGCCTCCTCTGCAGTGGCTGGCTGTCACTGACTCAGCAGCAGCTGTGAGGAGGAACGCGCCGTTGCACAGATCTCTGACAGGTTGTCAGTTATCTGAACAGCAGCGTGTTCCTCCTGACAGCTGCTGCTGAGTCAGTGACAGCCAGCGGTCTGAGATGCCATAGCAACCCAGGTGACCCGCACGGCAGCCTGGGTCTTTATGGTGATTGTTCCGCCACTGATTGTTTGCTAACCTTATTCAGACTTCCAAGGCAGGTTTGTATCTAATTGGTTGCTGTGAGACAATTCTCAGTTCTCCGTACTTTTACAACTTCATCAAGCCTTCTATGCATGTAAGAGAGATTGCTGGGAGTCTGCAAAGGTTGTATTTTAGTACTCTCCTAAATCGCAAGCTGGGGTTCTCAAAATGGAGTGGGGTAGATTGGTGTGCTGCAGCCATGTCTGGATAAAATACAAAAATGTTGAGGTAGGTAGGTTGTGTTCCATGTACAGATGACTTAAATTTAAAGTAGAACTAGTGGCTTCCCATTATTAACAGATATGTGTTGCAGCACTTCATTATAAGTTCATATGCACTTACTGTTTTTTCTTAGTTTCCCTGCAAAGTCCCACAAATACCTGTTGACTATATCCACCTACGGTATTACAGCTTCCATTGATGGGGTGGCAACAATGCTGCACTGCTGCTGAGTTCAGAGCAGAATTGCCCCTCTCATGTAAGCAGTGCCTGCTTGCACTACAGTGGGATGAAAAAACTGTTGCAGGGGGCATGCTGTCAGCATTGTTACTGCTGATTCACAGGCTTGTAATGTGAGCTGCAGTGTCTGGGAGGGGGAGCATATAAGACACAAATGAAGGAGGATTTGGCTCAGTCAGGGAAGGCATTTTTTTTGCTTACTTTATAAGGCTTGTGCATCACAGAGTAACTGGATTTGGAACGTGTTTAGAATTTCAGACAAGGGCCTTTACTTCTACATCATGTTTTCACTCGGATATACCCTCAGAAATATATTTATAGCGGAGTGGAATTAAATTTCCAAAAGATTTCAAACATTTCCAAGTGAAGCTTTTCCCACGTGGATATTTTGTGCCTTAATACAATTTACCATCATGTTTTTTTTTACACAGACTTTGACTATAATGGCAGAAGCTCTATCTATCACAGTGAAAAGGCCAAGGATGACACTGGGAGAGCCTATTCAACCTAAACAGGTGAGACTGACTGGAGACAGTTGGGTGTTACCCACAAAAGAGAGGGGTCTCCAATCAGTCAGGGCTCGTGTCTAGGTTGAATTCCGATGGAAATAGAGTGGGACACTGTCTTGCAGAGAGCTGGCCATCGTATAGGCAGAGAGCCTTCACAGCCCAGGCTGAGCAGCTAACTTGCCAGGGGGCTAAATGTTGAGTTGTGGCTGTAATAATCCCCTGGCAGAATACACTTTATGTGAAGTTACTTTTTGTTGATGAGTAAAAGTGCAGCACTTTGCAGAGTGCAATGAATCTGTCAGTACTCTCCATTTAGAGCTAAATCTCACAATATATACTGTATAGTCATCTGTTCTTGTTACACATGCATGCTGCCCCATGCACAGCCACTGTCCTAGTATCCTAGTGCAAGTCCGTGGGCGAGTCCAGACCTATAATGATTCAATGGACTGGCATGCAGGCTGCTACTAGACAGAGGGCCATAAATCTGTATGTAAGTAATATAATAACTCTTGGTACAGCAATGAAAAAGATACATTGACATTTGATTAGAAGTAGCTTCATGTTATCTAAATGTAAATGCTCACTGAAAGCCCGGTATAGGTTTATAATGAGGAGTCAGTCTGCTGAAAACATTTATCTAAACTTATCTAAGGTTCATTTAGGTAATTATGGACGCTCTTGGACTGAGCCACTTGCTAGTTTCTTGTAACACTCGGGTCTTAGGTCTAAACAAGCAGTCAATCCACGTTTTTACCGATCCACGGCTACCCACTGGCAAGTTAGGATTGCAGCCAAACAGGGCTGTGCACATTGCTGCGGCAGTGATGCTTTGCTTCTCAGCACAGCAAAAATTATATACCGTGTCGCTTTCGGCAGGCGTGCCATCTGCCAAACATGGCTATTGATGTGAATGGGATCACATCACAACTGCGTGCCAAGTGTTCTATGTAAAATCATACTTGGGATAAAAAAAAAACAGGCAGGAGGCGGCAGTATTGCTTCCTTAACATCTGGAAGCTGCTGCTGTACCGCCCTCTGGATAGAGGAGGCCTTACTTGTCGTCCCTGACATCCCCATGGGGTAACGCATATGTCCCCAGGATAAATATATCACACCAGGATAATTATATTAATTATAAAAAAGGGCAGTCATTTTCAGTTGAATAAGATTTGAAAATGACATTCCCATGCCTAAATTAGGGAGCCTTATCCATGTATTAAAGTTTTGTGAATTGAGCCCTACTATTTGATATATGCAATGTTACAGGTGGGATACTCACCTATTAAGCACAGCTGCTCTTAGAGTGTTATTTGATTCCTAGCGCAGTTTCTTTATATCTAACAATGTTACAGGTGTGGTTGGATACTGGTGCCAGGCTATAGTGGACAGTTAGAGACTGCCAAAAACTAGGGGTATGGCTGAAGACTGACACTAAACTCAGGAGTTAAATCTTAAATATACATTCAGGTATCTTAACTATTACCAAAAATGTATCTTATTTGTGTATCACTCGGCAGTAGGTCCTCAAATCATCTCTGAATAGGTGCTGGCGCTGTCCTTCCTTCTGGAGGGGGGCTACATTAGTTCCCCATGGTCCCTGTGTGTGTTATAAAGTAGTCACCGCTCCAAGCTCACTCACGTCATGGACTACAATCTCATGTTTAGTTTACTAACTAGTATTGAGATTATAGTCCTTCAACGGAGGGAGTTTGGAGTGGTGACTACTTGACAACACACACAGGGACCACGGGGAACAAAAGTAGCCCCCCTCCAGAAGGAAGGACAGTGTCAGCACCAATTCAGAGATGATTTAAGGATCTACAGCCGAGTGATACACAAATAAGATACATTTTTGTTAATAGTTAAGGTACCTCAATGCATTTTTAAGATATAACTTTGGTGTCACTTTTAAATCCGGGATGATCCCATATTATACACGATGGGTGACAACCCCAATTGAGATGCCATTCATAATGAAAGGCAGCACGGCGCACCAACACGAATGACCTGCGCCGCCATGTGAGTGCATCATTGTGAATCTGACCCAAATCCTTTAGTTTATCCAACTGATCAGCACAGAGGCCACCTTCTGCTAGTTAAGGTACTTGAATGCATTTTTAAGATTTAACTCCTGAGTTTAGTGATCACTGCTATTAAAAATAAGTTATCTCATCTTAGTACTGGTTACTGTTACTGGGTCCAGAGGGCCACGTGGTAAGTACCAAAGTCCTACATCTGGCCCTTGAGCTGTTGGTTGGGCATCTAGGGAAGCTATAGGTTAACCTAGCTTGAATTACTATATCTGCTGCCTAAACCTACAAAAAGAGACCCCCATTGTCATGTCAGTGGTATGTAGGTGGAAGAGGTGGAATATCAGCACAGAGGTCCCATAGTTAGAGCGCTTGAGATAAACAAGGCTTGATTCCACTCCATTGCACCCACCCACCCACACCCAAAAAAAATCATTGTTTGGTGGACTGACCCTTTAAACAACCCCGAGATCCATATAAAATAGATACGTCAGCGTGCCCTGTGAGCTTGATCCGGTGCCGTGTGCAGGAGCCCTACGGCTAAGCTATTAATAAATAAACTGGGCAAGCTGGATGGACCTGCCGGTCTTTACGTGCCATCAATATCCTGTGTTTCTATGTTTAACACCGTCTTCCAGCAGAGTTACTTAATGATTTATTTCATCATTAGCTGTTATATCTGGAGGGTATAATTTCAAACTTTGAGAGTTTCCCTTAGTTAGAAAAGTTCCTGTAACGCTATACGGTTTTAATGAGACGGTTAAAAAGGAAAATTTGACAAAATAGGGCTTGCTGCTTACAAGTGGCATTTTACAGGAAGTTGTATTGTAAATTCTCATCCCACTGAGTCCCAGCTGGTTGTAAGCTAGTACAGGCTGCTTTTAATTTCAGGCGGTATTTAATTTTCTTTGTAACAATTTTTTTTGCAAAATGTATTAAACAGTACGTTTGTCTTTGGTATGGGGCTTATGGCCTACCCTAAAGACCTATCCCTATCCTCACCTTAAAGCAGAACTATGAGGCGAGTGAAAATCACTCAGCCTCATAGTTC